ACATATATACATACAGTAATGATGTCTGTTTCATTCTACTTTCTTCCCATCACTTCTCTCTACCTAATCTAAGGGTAACACTGTTCTTCCCTAGTGCCTGCCCCTGCCTTATTGTGAATTAGTGTCTGCATAGTAGAGAAAACATTCAGCCTTTGGTTTTGTGGGATTGGCTTATTTCACTTAGCATGATATTTTCCAACTCCAGCCATTTACTGGCAAATGCCATAATTTTACTGTTCTTTAAAGCTGAGTAATATTCCATTGAGTATATATACCACATTTTCTTTATCCATTTATCTATTGAGGGACACCTAGGTTGGTTCCATAGTTTAGCTATTGTGAATTGAGCTGAAATAAAAATTGACATGGCTGCATCACTATTGTACGCTGATTTTAAGTCCTTTGGTATAGCTGGGTTAAATGGTGGTTCCATTCCCAGTTTTCTGAGGAATCTCCGTACTGCTTTCCATAGTGCTTGCACCAATTTGCAGAGGTATAGTAACAAAAATGGCATGATATTGGCACCAAAATAGACTTGTCGACCAATGGTACAGAATAGAGGATACAGAGAAAAACCCACATAAATATGGTTATCTCATACCAGACAAGGGTGCCAAAAACATTCACTGGAGAAAAGATAGCCTATTCAACAAATGGTGCTGGTAAAACTGGAAATTCGTATGTAGCAAAATGAAATTAAATCTCAGTCTCTCACCCTGCACAAAAATCAACTCAAAGTGGATCAAAGACTTAGGCACTAGAACAGAGACCCTGCACCTAATAGAAGAAAAAAGAGGCCCAACTCTTCACCTTGTTGGCCTAGGATCTGACTTCCTTAACAAGACTCCTAAAGCACAAGAAGTAGAATCAAGAATTAATAAATGGGATGGATCCCAACTAAAAAGCTTCTTCTTAGCAGAGGAAACAATAATGTGAAGAGAGAGCCTACAGATTGGGAGAAAATCTTTACCACATGTACCTCCGATAAAGCATTAATCTCTAGGCTATATAAAGAATTCAAAAAACTTAAAACCAAACAATCAAATAACCCAATCAATAAATGGACTAAGGAACTGAACAGACACTTCACAGAAGAAGAAATATAATTGATCAACAAATATATAAAAAGTATTCAACATCTCTAGCAATTAGAGAAATGCAAATCAAAACTAAGACTTCATTCATCTCACTATGGTCAGATGGCAATTATGAAGAATACAGGCAACAAGTATTTTATGAGAGACAAAAATTTTTAACTCATTTTTGGTAAATTCCTAGGAGCATCATTGTAAGATTGTAGAGAGACCATGTTTAGGTTTGTTAGAAACTGCCAGAGTATCTTGAAAAACAGCTGTGTCATTTAAATTCCCACCAGCAGTGAATGAAGTTTCCTATTGTTCCACATCTCCACTAGCATTTGATGTGGTCATTGATTTGAATTTTAACTTAACCTGTATAATAGGGATGTAGTAGTATGTTGTTGTCTTATATAATTTTATAACGCCCTATTGATCTCTTTAGTATTAAGTTTTTTTTCTACGTACATATTTGCCATCTGTATATCTTCTTGGGTGAGATGTAATGATGGAATTATCCATAGGTAATGATGGAATCATAGAACAAGTAAGGTAATAATTCCTCTGCTTTTTGTTTTATGGAAGAGATTATAGGGAAAGGAAACATCTGAGCTGGTGCTTCTGGTTTAGAAAGTATTTAATTATTGACTTAATTACTTTAATAGATGAGGGTCTTTTGAGTTTTTCTGTTTATACTTTTGGTAACTTATACCTGTTGAGGAATTAGGCCATTTCACCTAAAATTTATTAACTTTGTAAGAGATTTTATGAATTATTCACAATTTTTCTTTATTTTAAATCTGCAGAATCAGTAGTGATGGTTCATTTTTTTCTGATATTAAAAATTTGAGTTTTTCCCTAATATATCTAGCTAGAGAGTTATCAATTTCTTTTCAAAGAACCAGGTGATCCTAATTTTTTAAAAAGCCTAGAATATAAACTGAGTGGAAATATAGTAAATGTCAATTATTTCTGCATGATGGTATTGCAATTTTTCTTTTTTCTTTTGTACTTTTCAATATAGTATCTTGTTTCATAATGAAAAATTATTTTTAATGGTGCTATCCACTGTTTAGCCTTTTCCATAAAATCATATTTACCCCCAGTGTTTGATAATATTCATGAAAAGTCTAGCTCACATCCCCCACCTCCCTCGACTTTTCATTGGACTTTCCCCTTGGGAAGTCTAAATTTATATCCTGTGAATGAATAGTAATGACAAATTTTTAAAAAGTAAGATTGTTTAGAAGAAAATGAAAGTAACATTTTGGATTTAGGTGTTTTAATATTTACTACAGCTGTAATATTATTCTCATTTTGCAAATATGTATAAGTTTTACTTGTCTGAGGTCACATCTAACATGTAAAAAAGCTCTTGTTTCAGTACCAAGTTTCTCTCATTTTAGTCTGTTAACTTTCTGTAGATTAGATAATATGATTGGAGATGGACTATTAATTGATTTGAGGCATACCCAGTTACAAGGAAAGATGGAAAGATTGATCTTTGTCAGTCATTTACCATCATTTCTTTTGTATAAAGTACATTATGTAATATCTTTTGAGCTTATGCCTACATGTATTAACATTTCAAAATGGAAGTTAACTTATATTAGAAATATGTGATGTACTGTCAGTCTCTGAGATATAATTAATATGTATTTTATTTTTAATGACATGAGAAGATAGTCTTAGGAGAGGAACTATCTGGTCTATAGTTGATTTTTCAAATCTACTTTCCCATATAGAAAAAATGTATCTCATCACCATTTATTTGGGCTGAAAATAAAAAATTACTATCAAAGAGTAATTATTAAATATTTGTAAGTAATCCTGTAAATTTTTGAATTTTGCAAATTTTAATGGCTTTTATTTAGTCAATTGATTATTCAGTGCCACTTTGTTTAACTGTGTAGGTATTTGTTTTAATTAGTGTTACCTTGAAGTAGTCCTATTAAAAAAAAAAAACTAAAAATAAATGATGTATTCTCTGCATGTTTTTTCCTTCAATTCACAATTGTCTTAAAGTCATTAAAGACTAGCCTTTGTGTGATGTTTTATACTTGATAACATTTTCATACTTTTCTTCAATTGATTTACAAATGAGTTAGGTGATTTTACACATTTTCTCATTTTACACATAAGGCAATTAAAACAAAATACTTTTGTGGTTTAAAAAGGTCACAACTATTTACAAAAGTGTTTTCATCCCAGATTTTCAGAGACTTCAAATCTAGTTATATTTTTTATTACATTATCCTGGACCATAACCATTTCTTACCCTTTCCACATTTATGTAAATATTACTATTTGTTGACCACTGTGGAAATCAAAGGGAGCGATTACTACCCTATACTACTTCCAACCTATTATCTTCTATTTCTATATTCGGATTGGTGTTGGGGGCAGGGTCATAGGGGCTGGTTCTTACTAGTATTTATTCATTATCATTCTCAAAAAAGTAATCTATTTCTCTGTACTTTATTCAGTATCATAGTGTATTCAAAACAATGAGAAATTTCTGTAGCATATCAAGGTTTTTCAGATTAATTGCCATGTAACTGCCTCAGACAATAAAAATTTTGTTGAATTTATTTGGGGAAAAAATGGAGGGCTAGTCTACTGCAAGGTTAATTTTGAAAATCAGTGTCTCTTCTAAATATAGTTAGAGTGGTGTTATACTTTCATCAAATTTCTTGAGTAGAAAATATTTTTGTTTTTCATAAACTTTTTAATATATTTCAACCAGCGGTTCAACCATTGGATTATAAGGAGTAGCCTTCTGAAAAAACACATTTTGTATTGAATAATATGCCTTATTTGTTTAACTGATTTTTTTACTATCTTATAATAAAGTCTTCAAAAATATCACAGATATCTGATGTGATTTTTGAGCTGTGGCTTGGTACTTGTTTTTTTAGGCATCATTTCATTGTCTCAAATCTGTGAACTTTGACTTCCTTCTATTTCTCTATTGTATGTTGCACAAAATCTATTCCTTTCTTCCCCATGTCTCCATTTTTGTTCTGGTTTCTTTCTTAGGGAAAATAAAAGTAAAAAAAAAAAAAATTTAAATAGTTGTACACAATACTTTTATTTTCTTTATTTTCATGTGGTGCTGAGGATCGAACCCAGGGCCTTGAATGTGCTAGGCAAGCACTCTACTGCTGAGCCACAACCCCAGCCCAATAAAAGTAAAATTAATGAACAGTGATAAATTGAGTCTTTGAAAATGTTCCGTGATACTTAAAACCCTATTGTATGAGCCAGCATGGTGGCTCACCTCTGTAATCTCAGCAACTTGGGAGGCTAAGGCAGGAAGATCACAAGTTCAAAGCTAGCCTCAGCAAATTATGGAGGCACTTAGCGACTCAGTGAGACTTTGTTTTTAATTAAAATATAAAGAAAGGCTGGGGATGTGGCTCAGTGGTTAAGGCCCCTGGGTTGAATCCCTGGTACCCACCCCCCAAAAAAAACCCTATTGTAGGAAATTTGTTAATTTATGATGACACAACTCACTGTTCTTGCTATTTTGTTTTTAAAGAGTGTAAAATTAGGGCTGGGGTTGTGACTCGTGTTAGAGCACTTTCCTAGCACATGCAAGGCCTTTGGGTTCGAACCTTAACAAAAAGATGAATAAATAAAATAAAGATATTGTGTACAATTACAACTAAAAAATAAATATTAAAAAATAGAGTGTAAAATTATTCTCTTTCTGGCCTCTGATTATTTCTTTCTCGATAGATATCATAGTTCAATTTTGAAGTTAGGCCTTCTCCCTTAACTATTACTAGTTAGGTGTTTATATTTCTTGTTTATTTTTAAATTTTTCTTGTCTTTTTTTCTTGCCATTGCTGTGGAGAGTGGTAATTTTATTGATTTTAATAAGATTAATGTATTTTAATGAATATTTTTCCTCTTTTAAAGACTGTGAACCAGAAGAGCTGACTGACTGGTCTATGGATGAAAAATGCTCATTTTGTAACCTACAGAGAGAAGCAGTCAGTGTAAGTTATAGTGCCATAAATTATTTGTAAATTAATTGTACAATTATAACATGCTTCTTTTAACTTAATTTCTTCTGAAAAAATGTTACCTGGTAAAAGTTATAAAACAATTTTACTAAATGAAAAGAATATTTTAAAGTCTTATGTTGAAAGTCCAATATTTAGTTTAGCTTTGCAGGTGAAAAATCCTAGAAAATTTATCTTTGACTTATTTCACATTTTTTCCCTTATTATTCTCTGACTCATGAAATTCACTTCAGGTCATTTTGTTAGTTACGTATAGAAGGATAAGCATGAAAGCCTAGTTGGGTCTGAGGCCACCCTACAGTCACCCTACAGGATAATTTTTTAAGGAATCAATAGTTAGGAGATGATATGCTGCTACTATCTTTTAGCCTTTCACTCACTTCTGAAGTCTTTTGGTTGTCATAAATATTTCCTGGGTAAATGTTGAAATATGTCAGTGTCTGCTATATCCAGAACATAAACCATATAATCTACTTCTTCTTGGATGGTAGATATCATGACTCCTATCTATTTTTATGAGAAGGACTCAGAAGAAAATTTGTACTGACTTTGTTCAGATTAGTGGGTAAACATATCTGTTGTGTTGTTTTAAATAGAAAGAAAAAAAAAAACCTCTTTGGATTAGCTTGCTGGTATGCCATATAGTTAATTTATTTGTAACATTTTCTATTGTGTCTGCTCTCTTTTTTTTTTTTTTTAATTTATTTTTGCTAAGGAATAGCTGTTTGGGCCCTCTATCAGATAAATTTCCTTTTTCCTAACTCGTGACCTGAATTTTTTATGTTTTTTTTTTATATAAGTTAATATGCATAAATTAGAACAATTTAACATTTAGAGAAATTTTTTTGCCATTTTTAATGGAATTCGATGTTTTAATAAAAGTAATTTAGTATGTTGTTTTTCTTGTAATCTTAGGATTGTATACCATCTCTTGATTCTTCACAGTCAACACCAACGGAGGAGCTATCATCTCAGGGCCAGTCCAACACTGATAAGATTGAATGCCAAGCAGAAAATTACCTAAATGCACTCTTTCGAAAGAAAGGTAATATTGGTATATTTTGTCATTTAAATTTGCAATAGAGTTCTAAAATGTTTGAATTTTTCTCACAGTCATTTTTTATGTCAATTCCTGTTCTCTAAATCATTTCTTTACCCTTTTTCTTCATATTTTTAGGGATAATAGGATTCTTAATCTTCCTTAGTGCTAATCTTATATTAAGCATTTCTTTCTGGTATTCTCACATCTCTTCCTGACTTTATCATACATTCTTCTCTGTTAGAGGAACCTTTTAAAAACATTTTTTTTATGCTTTTGGTTTTCCTTAGTTTGGATGTTCAATAAATTATACATATATTATATTGCAAGCTTATCCCTAATATGTAACAGTTAAGTCATTTAACAGCTAGGTTGGAGTGTATTTGCTGGCATCCTATTTCAGTATTTATTTGTTAACTTGAATATGCTTACTTGACGTTAGAAATATATTCTTTTTTACTTGTTTGTTTAAACTGTTCAAACAAAATGAGTATTCTTTAGTTGTTCATTACTTGTCCCGAATATGTCGAGCAGTAAGTAGTTTTTATATTTTAGTTACTTGGGAAAATTAGAATCTTCAGTTTTTGTTCTTGGCCATTCCCTTAGTAGAAGAATGTTTTTTAAATTTTGTTTTAAATCTTAACGTATAGAACTTTGGAATAAAGTTATGGTGTTTTTTTGGTGGGTGTGATTAATCCTGTCCCTCAGCTTCTAGAGATAAATACATAACTATCTTCTCAACCTGGAGTGTCGATTCTTTTTAATTTCTTGTTAGAATTAGATACCATTAGATATTTTCTATTAATTGATAACTTTCATGTTTTAATCAATAATGTTGAAAATAGTCTTCAACTTTGAGGGTCTTTTATAGTGTTATTGAGTTCCTTTATGTGTTGAAATATGAGATTCCTCTGATTAGAACAATCTTTAGTGTAACTCAAAGGCCTAAAGAATTGTATTGGTTTTAAACCTTTTCCTGTGTTACTGAAGTGCTTAAGTGTGGAGGAATTTGCATTATCATTAAAAAAGCAGATTCTTTTGTCAAAATTTTCTATCTGAACCAATGTTAAAAATACTTTACATTCTTAAATTCTTTAAGAATTTTATAATATTAGCTTAAAATTTTTTTTTTTCTGCCAATGTACTTATGAGACTTAGTAATCAGACTTACAGCACTAAGAGAACTGGAGGGAATATACACATTTGCACATATGCACACATAAATTTTATTAACCTTGGAATTTATTACTCATTGTCCTTTTCCTTGGAATTTTTTGTAATGGTAGTAACTGGAATTAATAATAATAACCTTTAATTTTTGATAATATGGAGTTAGCCTGTGCTCCATTGCCCTATTAAGAGTAATCAGTAAAAACTTGGTACTATTTCAGCTGATTCAAGCATCTGGGTCTCCAAGAGGTCTTCTACCAATGGTTGGGTGAGTGTTCTTGGATATTTAGTGACCTCTCCATTTGGGTTTTCTTCAAGATCCTTTGAAAAATTGCAGAGTTTTTAAATTGAAGATTCTTATTAGTGTTTTTGCTTTACTTCAGGTCTTAAATTTGTTAATTCCTTCATTTGTAGTCCATCATCACTTTTCAGATTAAGTTAAAATGTAAGTTTTTCTGTTTACTGGGGGTTTTGTTTGTTTATTTATGGGAAGCACTCTACCACTGGGTCACATCCCCAGCCTTTTACTTGAGTTTTTGTTGTCCTCCCACCCTCTCACCCCACCCCCCGCCGCCACCAAATAGAATAATTTGAGAGTCCAATATGGTTTGTCCAGATTGGAGGTAGAGATAATATCTTTTTTTAAAAAATTAAAATCTTAATTTTTAATGGTCTTAACTCCATTTACTGGTTTGTTGTTTGTATTTTGAATTCTACTCTTAAGTTTACTTTGAAATAAAAGGCAAGAAATATGTTTTTAAAGACAGAAAATACTTCTAGGTCTTTGGAATTGCAGATAAATATTGATGAAGCATCTTGTCAATGAAACTTTGGTTTTTTGAAATTTTCCCAGATTCAGTCATTTTTAGTAGAAATTATGGATATTGGTAGCATTTTATTGCTGATTCTTGAAAATCCATTGTTTAGATTGAGGTACATCCCATGTTGATCCTCTCTTGCAAACCATATATTTTTTGACTATCCTATTGAATTTTGTTTATTGAGTTAGTTTTTTGGGTTTTGTTTTATTTTTTTTTTTAGGGGGGGTACCAGGGACTGAACCCAGGGGCACTTAACCACTGAGCCACATCTCTAGCCCTTTAAAAAAATTTTTATGTAGAGACAGTTGCTTAGGGCTTCACTAAGTTGCTGAGGCTGGCTTTGAATTTGCAATCCTGCTGACTCAGCCTCCTGAGCCACTGGGATTATAGGCACGAGCCACCACACCCAGCGTTTTTGAGTTTTCCAACTTGGGATGGTGCTAATGATAAATATAAACTGTATTTGAGACTATTAATACCTGGAATAACAGTGATAACTGATATTATCAATTATGATTGAGTGCTTAGCCTTTTATATGCCTTATTACCTCATTCAATTCCAAAACAATAATAAGAGGTAGGTACTCTTACTATCATGTTAACAGGTAGGGACAATGAAGCTTAGTAAAATTAAATAGCATATCTTTTAGTTCTGTGTTATGAACATTTGAAGAAATGTCTGTACCTTTCAAGAAGAAATTAATGATATGAAAGCTGTTCTATGTGAAAAGCATCTCATTTAAAAAAAATATTAAGTAGAAAAAAAATGGGCTGATAAATGTAGTTCAGTGGAAGAGGGCTTGCTGGTATGTGCTAGGCACTGGGTTTGATCCCCAGGATTATGCAAAAGAAAAAAAGAGAGAGAGAGAACTTTCCATTCTCTGATGTTTAGTAGCCTAGGATTAGAATTTGTTTTATTTGAATTATTATTTTTCTTTTATATGAACTACTATATATTATGTTTCTCCTTTTTAATGATTAGTTCTCTTAGTATTTAATAATACACAGATTATGGAAATGCCAGTGACATTAGACCTTCTTTGTGAATGGAGAAAGCTTTTTACCTCATCTAAATACAGCTCATACAGTCTCTTGTAATTAGAAGCTAGTAGAAAATGCTCTTAAAATGTTAAACATAGAATAGGGGAGGAATGTCCTAGTCCAAAAGTGAATTTTTAACTAGTTTTATATGTACTTTACTTTAGAACTATTTCAAAATTGAATTCCTTCTAGAAGTTAACTTTAAAGTTAACTAGCATGCTAGAATAAAATGAAATCTCCATGATGATATGGATTTTATTTAGTTTATTCCAGAACCTCAGCATCTGGGACATTACCTGTCACATCCTAGATCCTTAGTAAATATTTCTTGAATGCATTAATTAGTACTAAGTTAAACTATATCCAGTTATTATTTATATCCAAGTAAATTATTTAGCATGTACATTTAGCATGTACATATAGTTTCTTTTCCTACATTGTAAATATTGCTGTGAATATTGTCTGAATGTCATTCAACATGTTTTGAAAGTGGATAGACCTGGACCTATACATTCAAATATCTGTCCAAAACTATCTACATGAAATGTAAACTAAATTACTTTGCTTTTAGCTTCGTATTCTCGGATCACACCTGAAGTGTGCAAGTCACTGGCTTCCATTTAGGAAGATGTCTCTTTTATTTTTAAATTAAAACTCTTGGACTTGACTAAATCGGACAAATAGTACGGACATGGTACCTAAGTGCAACATATTGTTAAATATATAATAAAATGAAGCTCTTCTTGATCCATTTTTTTTTTCCTGCTCGTCTTTTATTTATTCCCATAAATGTAACAGTCATATAAAAACTATTGTGGTATGGTGGGGTGTTTTGTTTTTGTTGTTTTTCCTAAAGATGATATTGTTGGATTTGATGAAGTTATTTGAAAAATTATTTGATAGCTCTTATTAACCCCCTTAAATTAAATGATAGCCAGGTTTTATATATAAAGTTTCCCATGCTTTTTTGGAACACAGGCCATTTTCCATTCAAACTCTTAATGTTTAAGCTTTATACTAAAGTATGAAATAAATACTAACTAAATTCACTAACCAAATGGACTATGACTGATGATAGTGTTTAGTTTCTTAGAGTGTTAATCTTTTAGATTGCTTTTCACTTAATGCAGCTATCTTTTAAGTGATAGGTTTTTTTTTTTAATTTAAGAATATATTTTAACATTATAATGTAATCAGATTCAAAAGTCAATATACAAAACCAGCAGGTTTTTTTTTAACTTTAGCAATGATGAACTGCAAAACAAAATAAAAGGATATTATAATTCATAATAGCAACAAAATATATTTTTATGTAGAAATAGGAAACATGCAAGATTTTCCTGAAAGGGTATTTAAAAACCTGTATACATGAAATTCTGTTCTATATTTTTAAATAGGAAGATTCAGCATTATAGACATTGACAAGTTGGTTCTCAAATACATGTGAAAAAAACAGCAGTGATTAGCAAGTTAATTTTTTAAAAAAGTAATAATGAGACTTGATTTACTAATTATCAGAACATAATATAAAGCAATTAAACAGTGTGTTTTGACATAGATATAGACATTACTTTGGAACACATTACTCAGAAAAGATAGAAGGACAACCCAAAAACATACTGAAATATAGCTTATAATAAAGGGGGCATATAAACTTAGTAAAAGTATTCTAGACTTTTCAACAGACTGCATTATGTCAATTGTCTAGCCTTCTAGGGAAAAAAAATTAAACTCACAGTTGACATCATATGCAGAAATGACACATCAGAGAACTTAGAAATTAACTGTTAAGAACAAGTTGGATATGGTGATGCACATCTGTAATTCCAGCTATTTAGGAAGCTGAGACAGGGCAATCACAAGTTTGCGGCCTCAACAACTTAGTAAGACCCTGTCTCTGGTCATCTGTGGACTAAGACCTCTGAAACCGCGAGCTCCCAAATAAACTTTTCTTCCTTTAATTGTTCTCGTCAG